CACCCCCCACCTCCCACCCCAACCAACCTTAAATGAAAAGGTATTCCCACTCATTTATGGCCTGTATAATTCTTGGCAGTTTGGGAAGAAAACTTTTGGCTTCCATTATCAACTCCACATTTATGTTGCATAGAATTTCATACATTTCAAAATTAGCCTAACTGTAGAAAAAGGCAAAATGGAAGCATTTCAGACAAAGCCCTAAATGAGTACAAAGTCACTTTGCCAGATGTGAGTGACACGAACGTAAAAATATGACTGACACGAGTGATGGGCACGTGAGACAACCCTGCTTCCCGAAACGTTAGGAAGGACACTGAGTTGTGACTCATACGAGGGCTACGCAACTTGAAACCACCGTTCACCGGTCAGGCTGCGCCAGGCACAGAGGTCTCGGGTCTGAGCCTGGACCCAGTGGGAGGGAAGTCTGCAGGACAGGGGAGAAGAGAGGATGTCACGGAACAAATCAAAAAGGTTCCAAATGCTATTGGCAGGTGTCTACTCACTAGGGGACTGGGAAAACTGCCCACCGGGAGGAATCCCTTTTACCTCCTCCCAAATTCACAGTACTGGAGTATAAGGTCATTGCTGGGAGACAAATGGTCTGATAAGGGCTGCCCTTCAGGTTTACCAGAAGTCTCAGGGCTTGGCCCCCTGGTCACAGGCTAAACACATGGTTTCGAAGTTTTATTAAAAACAAAAACGGAACGAGACACACTCACACCTGGATGATTAACGAAGGCTATGCAGGATCATCTGAGTTTGCTGAGATTAAAGCAAGGGTCATGTTGAAACCAGTTAGTGGGACACATCTCCCCGCTCCCACTGAAGAGGAGGAACACCGTGTCATCCACAGTGACGTGAGCAGTTTCGGGTCAAACTCTCGTGGTAAGAAAACAAACAAACAAACAAACAAAATGCCTAGAGGCAAACCTTCAGAAATGGAAATGCAGAAGATGGAATTAAAAACCCTGATTAATTAACACAGACGCCCTCGCTGGGGTCTGATAGAAACTCTCCTTATAAAACAGAAATGAACAACTCAAAAGATTTACCACGCTTCTGAAAGAAAACACCAGTACGTTGAAGACGCAGACTGGGTTTCTACGAGGGCAAGTCCCAGCAGTGTCACGTAGGAACATTTGCCTTTCCCGCATGAGGCAGATCATCGTCCAGTCAGGTCGTTAGTTGGAGACTGATAAGAACCTAAAAAATGGATTTTTTTTTCCTTTTTCTTTTTCCCATGGTCATGCACCCACACAGATGAATCTCTTGGATGAGAAAAGTCACAGCAACTTGAGTTCTGCTAATGAACTTTTTAGCCCTGTTTGTTTTGATGGGGGGGGGGGAATAAAAGGAAGAAAGGAACCCAAAACCCGGCAGAGACGACACTCATGGAAATGAACACGGTTAGTACAAAACCAGTAAGGCATCACTTTGGGAAGGGCAGCACCAAAGAGGTCAGGCAAGGCTTGTCCAGACGGGGCTCCGGGGGGCGGCGGCCACCCCACCCTTGCTGAGCTGCGTCACGTCACGTTGGTTCTGAGGAAAAGTGCAAGTCTGCTGTGAGGGGACCTCATCACCCCGCCTGGGGCTGGGGCTGGGATGCCTGAGGGGTCGACGTGTGTTTTCAACCCTCAAGACAAGGAGGAAAGGCAAGGTCCATGGCTCACCCACGTGTCGAGGGCTGGGTCCTCACCCGCTGCGAGGGACGCAAATGTCCCCAGCCCCAGCAGGAGGAGGCGCGCGTGTCGGACGGTGAGGATGGAGGAGGAAAAACCGAAACGGAGCAGGACCAAACCGAAACTCAACTCCTGCGGCTCTCACTTTCACCAAAGGATTGACTCTGACCAGGAGGAGGAGGAGGGAGGAGAAAAATCTTCCCCCCAAAATCAATGCATCGGAAAGACAGAAACTCAACCTCATTTTAAAGGGGTAATCAGTTCTCCAAAGTAGAACAATTCTCACTACACACAGTGTTGGCAGAAAGAAAAAAAAACCTGATTCATTTATATCTAATAAGGACAGAGATGCATGCCGCCCTGCACTTAGACCGACCCACTCGCTGCCATGCTCGCGCCTTCACTCTCTTGTGGATTCGCCGGGGGCTGAGGGGCCTGACAGGGGTGGTCGAATTAGTACAGGCAAAATACCTCTCGGGTCAGGAGAGCACCATTTAGAAAAACGATAAAGCACGATTTCTTTTCTCCTAAGGTTTCCCTGCGTGGTAGCTCTGCGGTGTGTTGAGTGGACCAAAGCCAGCGCCGGGGTTAGCACCAGTTCCCTCAGTGACGTCGAGAGTGGGGTGGCGTGGCTGTGCGACCAGGGTCTGTGCCCAGGGGAGGCCCCGCTGTCTGCGTCTCCCCCGCTGCTCCATGCTCTTCTGTCTCTGGGCAGCTCAGGCCAGGGTGCTGTCTGGTTTCAGAGCTTCATGGGGGGTTCTCTTTATTGATTTTTTTTCTTTTCATTTCAACGGTGATGGTCGTTTCCCGAGAAGTATCTTCAGTGTCTTAGGGAGGTCACAGCAACAAGGCAAAAACAATAATTAAAGTAAAACAGAAGGTAGTGCAGGTCTCACTGTGGGGGGCAGCGGCGCCCAGGCGGTGGCCTGGGACGCCTGCACCCAGGTGGAGGCTGACGGACAGGGCCCTTGGTATCCCTGCAGCGCTGGGGCTGCGGCCGGGGGCTGGCTCAGGAAGTCATCTTCAGGACGATGTGGGGGGTGCAGGTGGAATGGGGCAGGGAGAAGGGGGGCAGGCTCCACGGCTGGCCCCCGTCACAGGGTCGACTCTAAGGATGAGTCCAGGATGTCGTCGTGATGGCTGTTACTGTTGGAGTCGCTGTCATAGCTCTGGGGGCTGGAGTAGTTGGCTGCCTCCTGGAGTCTCATCAGCATGTTCATCTGAGGGAGGGGAGAGAAGAAGTATGAGCAGCTCTCAGTCTGGGTAGCCGCCCGCCCTGGCCTCTGAGCAGCTCAGGCCACCTCCTTCAGGCTCACCTAGGATTACAGCTCAGCACAGAGACTGCGGATGAGGACACCAACCAGGCTTCCAGAGTTCAGACTCTGACTCTCCCACTTACTAGCTGCGTGACCTTGGGGCCAAGTTACATAACTGTTTTTATGTTTTCTTCTTTCCTTTTTTTTTTTGATCACCATAATCTTGATCTCCTGGGCTCAAGCAATCCTCCCACCTCAGCCTCCTATGGGCTTGTTTCTTTATTGGTCAAATGTAAATAATAGTACCTGTCCTACGATGTTATGGTATGGGTTAAGTTTATATATATATGATAAGTATATATACATATTTCCATTATATATATATATATATATACACACACACACACACACACACATATATATATCATGGAAAACATAATAGAAGGTTCTGTATAAATATTATATTTATTTTTTATTTGGGAGGGGCATACCTGACCCCAGCATAGCCCTCAGCTTGGGTAAAGAGCACTGGTTGGCATCCCTGCTCCTGAGACAGGTGCTTCAGCAATGCTGATACCCTAAGCACACCCCCCCCCCACCTTTTGGTGAGCGTCAAGCCATGTGTACTGCTGGCTCTGAGCACAGGTCAGATTGGAGGCAACAGGGCTCGAGCTCCTGTCAGAGCTTTGCAGGAGGCAAGGGAGAACACCAACTACATGACCAGTTGAGTGCAGAGTGCAGAGGGGTCTGGACCATGACTCAGGCTCCTTGAGCAAGTTACCTAAAGTCTCTGAGCCAGCAGTTCCCTGTCTGGAGAACAGCAATGCCTATTTTTACAGGGAACAAAGTGACATAATGTGTTTTAAACCCTTAGGAGAGGGGCTGGCCTGGAACATAGTAAGTACTTAATAAATGTGATGTTATCATCATCTAACTTAAAGAGTCTAGAGACAGAGTTCTTCCTTGGTTTATATTCTATTGGTGGTTTGCTTGGGAGTGGGAGCAGAGAAAAACTACTTTTACTTATAACTATAAACTATGTGCATTTTGTATTTTATATAGCAATAAAGTTAGGAGATGGGGCCTTTCTGGGCTACAGTCAAGAAGTGCTGCAGATGGGCATAGAATCCAGTTGCTTCCTGGCTGGCTGTCCCTCGTGGCTGGTTTGCAGTCCACCCAGATGAGCCAGGCCACAGAAGCACCACTGCCTGGGGTCCATCTGCACAGCGATAACCAGGGGGGAGATGGAGCTGAAGTATAATGGACAATCCTTAACATCTGGGACAATCCTTGGCATCTTATTTATTCACTCATCAAACATTCCCAGCAAATCCATAGTACATGGTTCTAGCGCAAAAACATGTCAGTCCCGTTCTCATGACGGTCTCAGCTTCATGAGGGAGAGAGATGAACAAATCTTAATACTGGGATTATTATAACAGAGACCCATGGCTCTAGGCAGAAAGAACAGGGCTTGGGAAAAATAACAAATATCTAACTTAGTAAAAGAGATGGCTGGACTGTCACAGGTCACTTCTGAGGGTCTGGGGTTAAAGGGAGAATTCTCTGTCACTGTTCCAAGAACCCTAGGTCTTACCTAAGCATCCCTAACAAGTAAAAGTAGTTTCTCTCCCCTCCTACTATAAACATCACTGGCCAAGAAAAGCCTGTCTGGGGATGGGCTAGCCATTCTTTCTTCTACATAGCTTAAATACTATCTTCATGAAGTTAAGACCTCATGAGCTTGCTCCCGCCCAAAATACCCCCATGACCTTGGCTTTCCGCAATGAGAAATGGCTGTTTAAAGTACTCTTCTTTCCTCTGTAAGACCACTGTGGTAAATGGCACATGGCAACACGAGCAATAAACCCTTTAAAAGTACAGTTCCTGCTAAAATCCTGCACGAGACCACAGTTACATCCCACCAGTCGGTAGGATGGCAGACAACCCAGATCGCCTATTATTTTTTTTTCTATCTAGTAAATTGATTAGCTCCCAGGGATAGACAGTGAATCATTTGTCTTTTGATCCTGCAGTGTCTCTTATGAATATTTTCTTTCATTAGTTAATGCAAAACATACTCTCTGTTGTGTTTTCCTTTTTGTCATGGCTGCCAAGGAGTCTTGAGGCTAAATTTAAGGCATGATAACAGTCGTTTAACCACGGGAGATTTTGGTGTATTTGCTTCCTCCTTCTGGCTTTGATTGGTGAGGTCTAATTTAGCAGTGTAACTAAGAACAGGTCTTCTACTGGTAGAGAGTACTGTAATCTATTAGAAATGCTATTGTTACCGGCCCAGGCGCTTCTTAAAGGGCCTTTATTGCACTGGGGATGGCGGGGTCGATAAGCTGAAGCCGCACAAAGACTTCACTCATCTCCCTGGCTGTGGCATCCTTCTCCTTGGCTGTGGGATCCCTACTCAGGCCCTCTTGCCCTCCATGAGTCCTGAGTCCCTTCTGCTCTTAAACTGCTCCCTACCTGTCAGGCAGTCCCCGGGTCACGAACATCTGACTGACGTGTGACCTGCACTTATGAAGGAAACTTCTACAGGTAATAGGTAAATGTATCTGTTCCAACTTAGGTGCAAATTCCAATTAAGAACAAACCTACAGAACCCATCCCGTTTGTAACCCAGGGACCTGCCTGTACTCCTGATCATTTGGCTTGGGCTTCTGGTCTTTTTTTTTTTTTTTTTTTTTTTTTGAGACAGAGCCTCAAGCTGTCCCCCTGGGTAGAGTGTCCTGGTATCACAGCTCACAGCAACTTCCAACTCCTGGGCTCAAGCGAGTCTCCTGCCTTAGCCTCCCAAGTAGCTGGGACCACAGGCGCCCGCCACAACGCCCGGCTATTTTTTGGTTGCAGCCGTCATTGTTGTTTTGGCAGGGTCAGGCTGGATTCGAACCCACCACCTTAGGTGTATGTGGCTGGCACCTTAGCCACTTGAGCCACAGGCGCCAAGCCTGGACTTCTGGTCTTTAGCAATCTCTTCCTCTGTTCAGTTATTAGTGGAAGAGATCAAAAGATCAGTGTAATACTTGATAAAGGTGGGATCACAAAGCAGAAGGCAGAGAGCAGTGTGGAGACAATAGGTACAGGAACATTTTAGGGGGGAAATCAAGTTCTTAACTTTTTACCTAATAGGTATCAGAAAAAAAATTCAGAGAGGCTAACCATGAAAGAAAATGATGGCAAAATGGTCCTAATCTTGGGGTGGATCCAGGTTAGGCTTAGTCACCTTCACATTCCCAGAGTGCCTTGCATCATGCCCAATATACAGTAAGCACTCAATGAATGCTGAGGTGCCCTGGGAGCTGAGGACTCACCAGCGGGTCTCCTTCAGCATCACTGGGGGGCACTTGTTTGCTTGTTGACCCCTCCCGAGGCATGGAGTAGCCATCAAAGCCGACATCCTCAGGCCGTAGCTGCAGGAGGGGAGGCCACTCGTGCTGCTGCGGGCTGGCTGCCCACGGATAGGTGTCCATCACCCACTTGGCGGGATCCTCCCACGGGGTGCGCCGTCCATAGAGCTGAAAACAGGCAGAGAAGGAACAGTCTGGAAGTAGGCCAAGACCTCTCTTACAGCCCCAATTTTGGAACTTTCTGAAAAAACGCCCCAAGCTCAGCATTATACCTCTTCCCTTGATGGAGGAATTCCACTTCTGGAATTCTAGCCTAAGGATGCCATCCAAGATGCAGACAGTTCAAGGTGCTAAGACCAAAGGCAGCATAACCTACTGGTCAAGAGCACAGACTGTGGAGTCAGGCTAATCTGGGTTCCCAGCCTATCTCTACCACTGACTCACTGTATACCTAAACTCTGAGCCATGGTAACCCAATTTGAAAAATTGGCTCTGGGGAAAAAAACCAACTATCTATCTGACTTGAAGCCTTTGCCAATTTCCACGGTGTGAATACTCTCACCACAACTGATTTCAAACTATCAACATGATGTCACTGAAATAGAATCGGAAGGAGGCACTGCTGGCTTTCAGCTGCCAGCTCTAGTCTCCCGCTAGGCACACGCACCAGAGACCACCTCCCACATGAGTCAGGTGGTGGCCACTGGGCAGGCAGGGAGGAGTCACAAGTGGCCCTGGCTCAATAAAACCCTATTTCTTGAGGTTGGTCTGACTCTGAGAGCCCCTCTGTGGACTCGCTTGTCACTTTCAAAGCAGCTACTTGCTAAGAGAGGTTGCCCGATGGTAGTGGGATTGTGAGTGCTTGTCCTTTGTCATGTATTTCTCAAAACTGTCCACAGTAACTAACTGGCTCTTAAAACAGTCAACTGTGTTATCACCACGCCTCCAAGCTCCCTCCCTCCCTCCCCTCCTGTCTTTACAACTGTGAGGCCAAGCTCTTTTTCTTTCTAATGATAAAATGATTTAGTGACCCTTGCTGGCCATTTTGAGAAACGTATATATTCTTTAATAGGCTGCACCACTTCCCAAGGTGAGGCTCTCTCTGTTATGCAGCTACGTGTCATCTTACCATTCCTCTTGAGCAACACCACCACACCTTACAGCTCACGGCAGGCCAGGTACCGTGGGAAGCACTTTATGAGTATCTGTGTAGCCACCATGTGACTCCAAGAGGAAGTATTACTATCAGCCTAGGAGGCAGCCTAGAGAGGAGAGGAGCCAGAATGGAAACCACTGCTGTGCCCCATGTGGCAGCCTGTGCTCATAGCCACAGCAGTGTCACCTGTGGTTCTGAAAAGCATCCCCTCTGCAGGAAGCCTCCGGGTGCCAAGAGCGAAGACTTCTGAACCACCATGGCTGCAGTAGGGCTCCAGGCTGCACCTAAACCTGGGCTGCAGGCCTGTCCATTTGCTCTCCTCACCCTCCCCAGGACCCCTACAGTGCAGAGGGGGCTCAGAACAAGATGCTGACAGCAGGACAGAGCTAAGCGGTGAACTGCCAAAATGATGCTTTTCTGAGTGGAAAAAGTGGGGGAAATCAAGGCCCAAAGAGCACAGCCAGCTGTGAAAGGTCACACAGCAGAGCACAGTTTGGACCTAGGACCCCAGTACCCTCGTCCCAGCCTCTTCCCTCCCTGCCCCTCCTGATTGACATGACTTTGAAGTACTCTATGGGCTGGAGACACAGGACTCAGTCTGAAGCTGTAAGATGCAGACCAGGCTCTTCACCAGACATTAGCACACTGGCCTGTGCCGGGCTCGCGCCCCTCAGTCCTCTATGTATCCCTGGCAGGGATGCTACCCTGGCACTGTCTCTCCGCAGGAGCGGCTGCCTCCTCCTCCACTCCAGACACACGGCCTCTTCAGACCTGCCCACTTGCCCAGATGCCAGCATCTCTCCTGTCCAGTGCTGGCCCTGTCTGCTGCTAAATCTTCCTAGACTCGGAACAGCAGTGAGTCCCAGGCCTGGGACTTCAGTCTGGCATTCAAGGTCTAGGGTCATTGGAAGGGTGTGTGTGTCTGTCTGTGTGTCAGGGCAGAAGAGAACACGGAAGCCAGATACGACAGCCTGTGGCCGTTCCAGATTAGATACATTCTTGCAGTTTTTAGAAGCTCCCCTCCAAGAACTTTCCCTATGGAACTAGGCTGCCCTTCCCAAACCAGACTTCACCTGAGGCTGAAACAAACCCCTCTCTGACAGCCACGGCTCTGTCTCTACTCCCAGGCCAGATGAGGACACACTTGGGGCTGCAGAACCACAGGGCCTAGAATGCTTGCAGCTCAGCAAGTCCTCAGAGATTATCTGGCCCAGCAGTTTTCAAACATTTGCTCTTCATTCCTGACCTCATCTGAGTAGTCTGGGGAACGTTTAGGCTTCACGGAAACTAGCCTTAAAAACACCCTTCTAGTCTAAACTTTTCAATGAGCAGCTGGGGAACCTGATGCCTAGAGATGGGAGACTCGCCCAAGGTCTCAGAATCAGCTGGATCACCTGGCCGATGGTCCCATGCTCATTCCCCCCACCCGATTCCCATTTCCTGAGGCACCAGGCCTGTCCTGGGCACAGAGGCTTCTGTAGACATTAGACACTTTGGCCAGTGTTTCTAATGACAACTCAAAATGGTGAACAAGACTAGGGACCGAGTCATAAGACAGACGCACATTAGGCAGAGGCTACCATCATCTGCAAGAACAGAAAATTTTTACAAGCCTTCCCAGTTGTCACTGGGCGTGTTCCAGTCTGGCTGATGAATGGCTGTGTAAGACTATGGCAAGCAAAGGAAATATCATGAAACTCCTTGGCTCCACTGTAGGGCCCTGAGGACAGCTGCAGAGACAGCTAAATGACAGACAAGTGGAGGCAAGACCCACTATCCCTGAGGCAGGGAAGGAAGCTGGCATCCCCACTGGGTCAAGAAGAACAGGAATGGGACAACAGGAAGCCAAGATCTGGGCCACTGTGAGCCTTCTGACTCTGGGATGTGTGGGGCTTCTGGGAGCACACATACACCATGCAAGGACATGCCAAGGTACACATTCAGGAAGCTTCTCCACACATGTGCGTACACACAAAAATTAATCTTAGGATTCTGGCACCTAAACTTGCAATGCCACCGACATCCACCAGGGGGTGACACCACACTTCCTCCAGGCATGGATGCAACCCTTGGAAGGGCTGCCGGGGGCCATCCTTAACCTCCTGATTCTAGTAGGTCTTCCTATGAACCCACCAAGTCCATACTACCATGGGCAGCCCCCCTTCCCGCCTCCCCCTGAGTGATAGCCCTGTCAGGACCCATTCTAGGGACTCCCCCTCTACTCAGCTACAATCTTGGCCAAGGGATTACTTGGTCTAAACTGTGCTCATGGCACCTACCTGGGTTAGTTGAGGAGTGAGAGATGCCATACTGTACAGCCCAGCATACAGTAAGCATGGATTACTGTAGCGCCAAAGACAATAGGGACTTTTAATTATTTCTCGAATTAAAACATCCTTTTGTCAAAGGAAACCATATGTAGAATTCCACTACATAAGACATTTCACTGCCTGAGCCACCTGAGGCTTCTCAAGGATTTATGCAGGGCCTCAGGGCAGCCTGAAGACAGCACAAGCAGCCAAGGGGTCAACTAATCCTGGGCTCCAACACTTGTTCCATCCTACCTTGCCAAGGGACCTTGGTGATGTCTGTAAGATACTTACTAGGCCGTTAGAACTAAATGAGATTGTGTGTGTCAGCCTTTAGCACAGCAGCTGGCAAGTAGCAGGCCCTCAATAAATGTCAGCAAACATTCCTTCAAAACCAGAGGCAGGAAGAACACAGCAGGCTTCTGCATGAATTAGCAGATTCCACGAGGTCTCCTGGGCCCACTGGGATGATGAGGTCACAGGACTGGGGTGGGGTGGCTTGCTTCTGAGCCACTTAGTAGGATGTGAACGCTGGCTGCCCTCCTCTGCTACTCTATACTCTTGGAAGACTGTCCTTTAAATGACCTCATGGCACAGGGAAGCAATAGCTTTTCCTGCCTCACACTGAACTGGTGAGTCTCCAGATTATAGCATGTCTCTGCTCCCTGCCCCAGATGGGCTTTTGCACAGCCATCCCCAAGTCCATTCAACCCGTGGCCTCACCCTATCTTAGTGGGAAGGAGGCTCAGTGTTCCTCTATGATAAACTCCATCAGCACCCTCTCCAAGATAGAAAAGGAAATCTCTTCCCATCCAGCTGACACCACCTTCACAGCCATGCTCAGAAGTCTTCTAGGTGTAGGTCCAAAGGGGCAAGGCCCTGGTACTGCCAACCACTGGTCACCACCAAGGGGCCTGCTGATGTGCAGTACAGGCTGGAACTTGGACAGGCTCCCCGTCCCAGTTATGCCTCTATGGGCAGGGGAGGCCTTTGCTCAGCAGAGCCTGTGAGTTCTTCTAAGTGACTCTGAAATCACTCCCCTTCCCTCACCAGAAGATACATTTGGAGTAAAGAGGAAGTAAGTGGGAGAACTTAGAGGTCAGAGGCAAACAGTGCACCTCCTCTGCTTCTCTAGCACAGCTAGGGATTCCCGGAGGTAACGGGCATCTCATAGCCCTGGAGGCCACTGATGGAGAACAGGCTGAAATGAGACAGACTGTAAGAATCCAGCATGTGGGGGATGCTTCCACTGGCCCCCTAAAATAGGAACAACTGGGTGGCTGTTTAAGTTTGTGGTAGCAACCCATCTGATTAAAAACTAAATTGTGGTTAATCTACCCAGGCCTGTGACTTTATCTACCTAGGGAGATTCTCCTGCAAAGATCTAAAATTGTTCATGCCTTCTTTTATGAAAGCAACATTTAGTAAGAGTCCTACTAACCAATGATTTGGGGCTGGCCAAGGATTGCCTACCTTCTTGCTTTTCTCTGCCTTCACAACCCACTTGTCCTTTAACACAGCAGTTTGAATTTGCTGCATGTGTTCCTTAGCTCAATGAGATACCTGTCACAGAGGCAGGATGGCCTTCTTTTCATGTTCTTTTTGTCCTGAAGACCATCATTACTGCTACATGTATAGATAAAAGCAGTTAAATATTCCCCAGGTCCAGCCAAATGAACAGAAACGACAAACGCAGACAGAAACAACTTGTACCGTGACACACGGGCATGTGGGTACACAGCGCTCCCGCACCCTCCCAGGTCCACAACAGCACCTTGTGTCTCCCGCTGCCCAGTACTCAGTAAACAAAGAAGCCCTTGGAAACCTGGCTGTAACAATGGCTTCCGGCTCAGACAGCCAGGCACGATGCCTGATAATTACTCACTGTGAGTATGGAAAGCCTTCGGAACTTCTTAGGGTGCCTCAAGGCTCAACAATAAAACCGTCCCAAGCTCTGATTTAACAGTAAGCTCCTAGTTAAACCCTGGGCTGAGTGAAAAGCGGAGAATTTGTTTTCCAGCTGTTGTCAGCCAGGTGGGACTTGGAGCTTTAAGAGCCCGAAGGTCACCTGTGCGTGGTCCTGATGTCAGAGAGTGAGTGCCACGGGGCCTGAGGGCTAAGAGCCTGGAGTTTGATCCAGAAGGTGAGGATTCGAATTCCAGACCCTTTGAATTTCACTTTTATAACCCTAGGCATGTCGTTTATTCTCTTTGCGCCTCAATTTTTCTCTCTTATAAAATAGAGACAAAAATTCTCTGTCCAAGTCTCAGGACTAATGCAGAGTTTAAACTAATAAAAGATAGGAGATACTTATAAACTGTGAAGTGCTATCTTCACGTATGGTTCCCCTTCTTGTGCACGGACTATGCTGAGCACTTCATCACCACACTTTCCTTTAATCCTTGCAACATCTCTTCGCGTCAGAATATCAGTGAGGGCACCGAGGCACAGCAGTTTGCTGGGGTCACACAGCTCATAAGCAGCAGAGCCGGGATTTGCAGCCCAGCATTTCTGTACTGTGCCAGACTGATAATCTGGCAGGTGAGAGACGGTCACTTCATGTCAGTCCAGTTCTTAAGGGGGAGATAAAGACAACTCATCTGTGGAGTCCCCTCGACTTTAGGAAGCCAGCAGGGGGCCTGCCTCTCACCTGGAGTCCTTCTCGGACGGCTTCTAGGAGATAGGGGATGATGGAGTAGTTCCATAAGTCAGTGAACCACACTCTTGAGCCATCCACGTCAATGGGGCACGACAGGAAGAGCCGGGGGCCTGCGGAGCACAGTGAAACACATTTGAGCTGAGGTGGGGATGGAGCTTGGGCATCAGGGGTAGCCATGGTCTGAGTGCCCTCAAGGGAAGGACCCCTGGGGTTCTGAGCCATGGCAGGTGGATGGCAGACTGTGCCTACAAAGGGCCATCCTGGCCAGGGCACAGAGGACAGCCATCCGGGAAGCTCCAGGAGTGTCACCTCCCCCTCAGCCCTCCCTTCCCTACCTGGCCTCCCACCTACCGATGGTGACATCTGAAGAGCTGTGAGCCTCCAGGAAGCGGTTGAGGTGATGCCAGACCTTGGGAATCCAGTCAATGATTTTCACCAGCTCCACATTCCGCACCCGCCCACTGATCTCCGTTTCCATGAGCTTCCTCCTCAGGAAGCGGCCCAGAAAACCCTTCACGGGCTCCGTGTGGTTGGCACAAAGCACCCACCTGGGGGAGGTCAGAACACTTTTTAAGATGCTGATGGTGATTGCTGACCTCAAGAGCCCAGGACGTTAGGAACAGAAGATGTGTATGCTAACACAAAAACAGGAATCATTCTGCACCAAACACTGTTCTAAACATCCCACATATATATTAACTCATGATTCTCAGGGTAACCCTATGATATAGACAGTATCACGGTGCCCATTTTACAGACAGAAATGCTGAGAAACAGACAGGTTATGGAAATTATTGCGGATGGAACAGACTGTTAATGGACAATCTAAGACTAGCATCAAGACAGTCTGGCTTCTGGCTTGGTGCCTGTAGCTCTGTGGTTAGGGCGCTAGCCAGATACAGGTTCAAACCCAGCCCCCTGAGCAGGAGCGGCAAGGCCTGCTAAAACAAACAAACAAGAAAACCAACAATGACAACAACAACAACAAAATAGCAGGCGCCTATAGTCTCAGCTAATTGGGAGGCAGAAGCAAGAGAATCACTTGAGCCCAAGAGTTTGAGGTTGCTGTGAGCTATGATGCTACAGCACTCTACTGAGGATGACATAGTGAGACTCTGTCTCAAAAAAAAAAAAAAAAGAGTCTGGCTCCAGAGTCTGGGCTCTAACCACTGGGTCACCTGCCCCTGTGCTTAGGGGTCAGGCTTGTACTATGGAAGTACGACAATGAGTGGGACATGGTCCTGTTCCCCAGGAGCTCACAGTCTGCTAAGTGAGGCAGACAAGGCGCAGATGAGATATGATGAAGCCTGTGGCAACCAGGCAGGGCTCCTCAGAGGAGGCGAGGTCTGGGCTGACAGTGGATGGCCGAGGGGGCCAGTAAGGAAAGTCAGTGGTGAATGCTGGGGTGTGGGGAGAGTGCTGGCTGCAACCTTTGCAAAGGCGTAGGAAATGGCATGGACATCTGGCAAAGTGAACTTGCCAGAAGTTCACTGTTCACTGAAGTTTAGACTTGGCCTGCCAACCCAGGGAGGCTGGATTTCATCCTGCAGGCAGAGGCGAGCTGGTGAAGAGCCATAAGCATGAGAGTTCTAAGGGCAGATGGGCACTGTGAATGCTCACTCTGTGCAGATGATGGCCCGTGAGGACCAAGCTATCGGCACACATACTGGTTAGAGAATGACGGCGATGACGGTATACGGGGTGATGATGTGGCAGTGGTGGGGGAAGAAGAGGGGACAGAAGCAGAGGCTTGAGGGCTATTTAGGGGAAAGCACAGATAAGACCAGAACAGCCCGAAGGCAGAGGGGAGCCAAACTCTCAGTGGGCTGCAGGAGTCATTCCTTAGACAACCGCATGCAGGTCCACTTTCAATGGATCTCCCTCAGAGATGCCCGCACAGCGGCCAGTGAAAATGAGCTGGGAGTCCCAGCTAGGAGACAGCTCCACACCCAACTCTGAGGGCCCTGGCAGGAGAGCTGGAGTCTGCTGAGATTAAGGGCAGAGCAAAGGGTGTCTAGCGATGCCAGGGCAAGCAGCCTGGCAAGCTGAGTTGGGCACTCCTTCCTCAGCCCTGAAAGCACTGATGAAAGCACTGATACAGGTGCTGCAGCAGGGAGGGGAAGACAAGCCAGCAAGGGGGCACAGGAGCTGGAACCCGAAGGGCCCTAATGCAGCTATGAGGGGACGTTTCTAAGCCAAGAGCTGTCACTGCTCATGTTCACTCGGGACAGAGACACACCGCTGGTAATGAGCAGGGGCAGCAAGGGTGAGTAGAGGCCCTGTCTAGAGCTACCTTCCCGACACTGCCACATGGGGCTCACAGAGACCTGGTTAAACTTTCGGCTCTGCCACTGACCTCACAGAGTTGCTCAAGTCTCTAAGCCCCAGTTTCCCTATTTTAAAGATTCTTTTATTTATTTATTTTTTTTTTGCAGTTTTTGACCAGGGCTAGGTTTGAACCCACCACCTCCAGTATGTGGGGCCGGCACCCTACTCCTTTGAGCCACAGGCACTGCCCAGTTTCCCTATTTGTAAACTGAGAATGATACAAAGTAGTTACATCCTCAAGAATGTAACTACTGGAGGTTGAAGTAAGGATTAAATGAATTAAACTGGGAAAAATAACCCAAAACCTAGCACAGAGCACACACTTAACTAAGGCTCTTCCACTCTCCCTTTCTGGCCCTCCTTTTTTGTGACTGCACACTTCATTGGCCAAGACAAGGGAACACTTACCTGAAGTTATGATGGAGCTGCAGGTTGGGGGTAGAAGAGGTAGCCTGGTTCATTGTGCCAATTATGTAAGGGCTGTGGGGGAAAGAAAGGAAAGCTTGAGTGCAAGGCGATCTAGTGAACACGGTGCTCACAGAGGCGGGTGGTGTCTGTGTCCAGGCAGGCGGGTGGCCCGCAGCCTCCCTGTCCAGGCCTGGCGTGCATGCACACTGCCCACCAGGTGGTGGCACGTCAGGGGTGGCACGCTCTCCCAGGGCTGTGAGGTCTGGAGGGGGCCTTTACCATTTGTGGTACTTGCAGTTGAGCAGCCCATTGAAGATCTCGCCCAGCGAGCTGACGTGGTGCAGGTTGTCCAGGATGATGACCAGGGGCATGTCCACAGCGTTGTTCTCACTGTTGCACTGATCGGCAAGATTGGACAGGTACTGGCGCAATTCCTGCAGAGCCCAGAGGGTGGGAGAGGACAAGTTGGCGAATGCACCCAGTGAAGACTCCCCTGCTCAGGGCCTTCACTGCGTCCAGGCCAGTGCAGGCAGAATGGCCCTTCACGCTGCCCTGCTGTGAGCACGTTCTGGGTGTCTGCCTGTTACAGGGCACAGGCTTGTGCTTGGGGAATGCGGGGTGGGTGTGGGATGAGTAAGCCTGGGTTCTGCCTTCTGGCATTTTCTAGATGACTGAGCCTCGGGCAAGAGCTCAGTGCTATGGAGACTCATACAGAAGTGGTTTTTAACTCCTGCTGTAATGCTTCTTTAGAAATGTCACTTTTCGTGCTATTTCTTATAATGCCAACCTCCCAGTGGGCTTGTGAAGAAGCTTCTGAGAGAAGTGCTCAGAATCCCTCTGTTGTGTGCCTTGGCATGAATGAGGGAAGGGCCTTGCTTGCTTTCCCCTGGAAGGACGCCCTCACACACAGCATGGGCAGCAACTGTACACTGCAGGCGGGAGCAGGGAAGGACTCTGCTTTTCAAGAAGCAGCGCTCTGTCCTCACAAGTGCCTAGGGCTAAGACGGTCTTATGCACTTTTGGTGCTTTGGTAGCACGTGCTTTAGATAAAGCTGAGCAGCAGAGGAGCCAGACCCCCGCCTGCTGACCAGTGCCACGTGGACACAACGCACAGTGCAGGGGGAGACGAGTCCGCACGCACCAGGGATCTGGGAAGGTCCTCTTGAAGAGGAAGCCTTTGAATTTAACCTTGATAATGTACAAGGCACTGGCTCAGCTGAGACTAGAACCCAGCTCAGGGTGCCTGGGTGAGGGATGCATGCCGGAAGAGGAGGAAAGAACGGGTACCAGGGGAAGAGATCGAAATGGTGAGGTAAGGACCTGCTGGGGAACTCAGGATGCCTGACCCATGATACTGTCATCATAACGATAGTTGGTGTCACTCAGAGCCGGCCAGAGATCTGTGGGCCTTACACACAGGAACTTTTGCAGCCTCCCTAATAGCCCTGTGAGGTGGGTACCATGATTATCTCCGTTTTACAGAGAGAGAGAAACTGAGGTACACAAAGATCAGGTGAGAGACTGCAGGGAGGCAAGCAGTGGGGTGGGTCTGACTCCGGTGCCTGCCCCAGTGTGGATCCTCAGCACAGGAGCATGTGGCCAGCCTGCTTGCACAGAGGTCACAGCTCCTCCACTTCCCACCAGCACACACTCCACCCTTGGCCTCACTAGGAGGTCAAGATATGGCTTGTTAGAAGCAGAAAAAGCTGAGCTTTTAATGTTACTGGTTCTGGGTATGTAATACTAGCACTCTGGGAGGCTAAAGTGGGTACACTGTTCTTGAGGCTGAAGTAAGGGTTAAGAGTTGCAAGCAGCTTCTTTGTCTTAAGAGTTCTAGACCAGCCTGAGCAGGACCCCATCTCTAAACATAGAAAAACTACCCAGGCGTCCTGGCAGGTGTCTGTAGTCCCAGCTACTTGGGAGGCTGAGGCAAGAGAATCACTTAAGCCCAAGAGTTTGAGGCTGCTGTAAGCTGTGATGCCACAGGACTCTATCTAGGGCAACAGAGTGAGACTATCACACACACACACACACAAAAAAAAAAA